AAACAAAAAAGACACGTGCACGCTTGTCAGTACTCACGAATCCAAGGCATTTTCAGAGGGGAAAGTGAGGGGAAGCTGGGTAATGGACGGCAGGCAGGGCGCAGAAGAAACAGCAGCAACAGTCTACAGCAGCACACGCATACGCGGGAAACAGTTCTCCATAGTGGTCCCAAGGAGCTTTCCCGATCCTCACTTACAGTCACAAATGTCCATCTCCTCTTGTAGATCACAACATTCCAAACCATAGGCTAACTGGTCGTCAGCCATTAAGTTATGAACATTATTGATCTCCTACAATAGTCACTGTTCAGTTATAATTCACTTCTGCCTCTCTAACACACTGAGCCTGGCCACACACGACTAAGCCCCGCCCCTCTACCGGAGAATGGGCTTGGATTGGCTGTTAGTTTCAGGACAAGCCAATTAAACAAGGACAAAACAAAGATTGACATATAATACTGCTATACAAGTTAGGTTGTTAGGGGAACAAAAGTGCTGAATCATGTACATGTACATATCAATCAAACTATGCTCATTTGCATGAACTGTAACCTTTAAACTGTAAAGATTATGAGTCTCTTATTGATATAAATTTGTATCCACCCATATCTATACTTATGCACTTTTAACTTGGTTTTTAGAAAACTATTTACATCCTGATGTCTGAATTCATTTTTAGCCAGGGCTATATGTATTTTCTTTTTCCTATTCTCCCATGATAATGTATTTTATGAACATGTTTGTTTTCAAACTGCTACCAGTTTGGCACTAATAGCCTACAACATCATTTGAGAAATACAGTGAACCCAGAGACAAGCTGTGGCTTACTTACCTCTTGGCACTACTGAAGTTACTGTATCTGTAAACAGCACAATCATATTTAAGGATATAGCTTAATAATAATTTGAAGTAGTGAACTACATTGTATATACAGTACTGTATCATACCATTTTCAATTAAACACAGTACAGTCATTTAATTTGCACAGTGCTGTAATTTGAAAAGTGTTTCATTGAAGCAGCTGTATGCATTTTGAAATTCAGTAAATATTGAAGCTGTCTGTTTCATTATTTTATATTCATGTACTAAATACACAAATATCAATTAGATGGAAATGTACATGAAATTCAAAGAAAAAGAAATTGGTTATAATAATCATTATAGCGATCAATTAGACCTCAGCAAATTTGATAACGATCAGACGTACAGTATCCACTAAGTACAATATTCATCAAAATCATGATACATTCAATTTCCCTTGCCGTTCAATTCTTTCAGACAGTTGATTTATTTGAGATTATCGTTCGCTCTATTATTTTTGGATACTATTTACAATATGTTAGTGTTCTAACCTTTTTTTAGTTATTTCATGTTTCGCTTTTCTATATCATATATTCATAATGAATTCCTTCTACTTTCATGCATCTGTTCTTACTTCTGCTGCTATGACACTTTCATTTCCCTGTGTGGCATCACTAAGGCTTATTTGACCTTATCATAAGTATATTTATAATTGTTTTTCTCCTGAAAGTGATTTTGTTCTTTTAAAAAGCAGTTTGAACATGAAATGTTTTGGATTTTGTCAATATAAAGATATTTTTTGTTGGTCCAGGAAGTTCTATATTTGTCTCTGAGATGTTTGCCTCCACCTTGATGGCAAACCATTTAATCTACTAAGAGCATTAAAAATAAAATACATTTAAAAAACAAACAGCAACTTCTCTGTCCAGGATCAGTGTCCCTCTTACTGTCAATAATCTGTAACACCCTGAACAGAAACAATTCTCATTTCAACATGTCTTTGATAGATAGTGGTTCAGATGGGAAATCTTTAAATCTGGTCTAACAACATCAAAACAACTGTATCTGCATGGCTGGATACCACTAATGGTAAGAGAGGAAATACAGTATGTTTTTTAAGATCTTCCTGTAGAACCAGTATTAATACTGATTAGGTCTCTATTAAACAGATAATTAAACAAACTGTATCCATCCGTCATGCTGTAACCATGGCTGTACGTAGAATTTTACAAATACTGAGGTCCAAAAACTGAGTTTACTAGGGGTGGTTTGGGGGCATGTACCCCTAATCCCTGATCTTAATATACACATTTTAAGATGTTTGGAGAGCAAAGATTGGATATCAAAAGCTTTAAACCACAGTAAAATGTTAGTGAGCAGTAGCATAAATGATCTGTCAAGCAATAATATATGTATATCAATGTTACAATGAATGAGCCATACTACAATCCAGAAATACAGAGGAGGTTAAAATGATCACAAAACATCCAAAAATGAATGTTGCCAATTACAACATACAATGTTTAGTTAAATGGTCAAGTAAAAGGAAATCCACACCACTGTTCTCTCTCACCCTCTATATTCACTGCCGGTCCCTTTCTCTGAGACTCCTGACAAAATGTATTGAAATGTAGTTAATCTTTGCATTTGAGTTTGCATCATTTTGGATTGGAATTATTGAAATGTGTCTCAAGCAAATGTTTGGTTTACAATAATATATCTATATCTTGTTTTGTTAAACAAAGAGCATATATATTTCTGTGGTGATAACAGTTTGAATTGGTTCTTAACCTATCCTGGGTGCAGTGGACAGTAGCTGCTCTTCCTCTCTCATCTCCTTCATCTTCTCTCTTTCTCTTAGTCTCTTTATCTTGTCCCATATCTCTTCCCTTCACAAAGCTGAGCTTTGATTTACAATAGTTTCATTTCTGTCTGTCTCGGTGAGGAAAGTAAACACATGTCGACCATATACAGTAGGGGTGAAAGTAACTAACTAGCCAGCATTACATCGAACTACAAGCAGTCCACTAGTAAAACTATCTACTTATTTGAATCACACTTCACATGGATTCAACTGCATGTCCGGTTACCTCAAATTATTGACATTGACGTTGAATAAAGATTTTGTAGTAATGACAAGATCATTCCCTTTACCACGTCACCACACAAATATGCACAAAAGCGATGACGGCGACCAGATAAGCAAGGCGGTAATCTTGCTCTTGTACAATAGCTTTGCTGCACCAAAGTCAAGTTATTTTAGTCAGAAAATACCGAGGGTATGGCAATGGACAACAGTGACCCAACCAGGTCCTTTATTTTTAAATTAAATTCCAACTGCTGACCATCTATGGCTCTCCTCCTTACAGCAGATACAGGGACATTTCCTATGTTACAGCACAGAAGTGCTGTGCTATTAGGTTATCCTGAAGAGACTGAAGCCTCTCTGCCTGTATGGATGAATGGAGGAACCAACAAGTCCATCACATTCCCTGTGGATGATGTCTTCAGCACAGCTCAAGGCGCAGGAAATATGTGTGTGTGTGTGTGTGTGTGTGTGTGTGTGTGTGTGTGTGTGTGTGTGCGCGCGTGTAGCACGGCTGTATTTTGATGTAATGTGATCAATAATGAATTTTGTGCAGGTCAAGATGCGACTTGGGGGTGGGGGGTTGGGGGAAGAAGAACAAGAGGCGACTGACTACTGGTGTCTGTGAGTCTCTTAAATCTAATGTAATGAAGAAACACAGAGAGGGAGGGGAAGTGACAGAGAAAGGGAGAGAGGGAGAGAAAGACAGAGAGAGAGAGGCTACAAATGAGGTTAAGTCCCAAGCTTGGGGGGGGGGGACTGGACTGAATATGGCTAGGGATGGTTGGGGGGGGGCAATAGTCGATGCTAAATCCATTAGGGCCTTGTGACCCCCCCAACATCCATACACTCCTCTACCCCAACCCCTCCCCACCACACCCTACCCCTGTGGCTGCCTCTATGGAGTTACACTCCACCCCATACCCAACCCCCCCTACACACACTCACTCACTTAAGAAGGGGGGAAAGAGAAAGAGAGCGCACTGCCACTTCCTAAACGAGTTAACCATTTGGACTGTCGGGGCCAACGGCATGTCTGCTGTGCACACGTACACACATGCAGGCAGGAAGCATTGAAGTACAGCATGTTCAGATATGCCAAAACCTTGCAAAATATACACACACACACACAACCAGAACGCATTGCTAATGGTGCGCTCATCCATTACTGGACCTTGACCTGGCAGCACTGTATACTGGGTAATGCCACAGTGAGGAAGTCAGGCTACCTAACAAGACCCTTAGCTGCACTGGAGACGTTTATAATGGGATTCATAAGGAATTAAACAAAAACAGTGATCCAGATCACCAATGTGGTTTTTGTGTGTGAAAGGACTCACACTACTACAACATCATTCAGTATTACATCACCTTGCACCAAGTGCATAAGCATTTTAAGGAAATATGTTGCTTTAAAGTAGCACAAATGTAAACATTTATGCTGCAGAAAACATTCTTAGCAACAAGAATATGCAAAAATATTTGAGCTACTCTCAGCGGGGACTTATCTTGACAAGAGATGAGAGTGTTTTTTATTGATTTACAGACTGAAAACATATCAAGAACAGTGTGTGAAGACAGACAACTTGGTTGATTCTTTATCTCGTTTATCTCTTCATCATGTTTTTGCTAAATTTGTAACTGTAGACTGGACAACATTTTAGACCGGATTTACTTTGCAGTATAACTTTTTTGGCATTGGTTTAACAAGAAACAATTATTCTCCTTTGACCACCTCAGTGCCATCTAGCTCCCTTTCTCAGTTTTTCACAAAACAATTTCCACAACCACACCATAAGAGGCCACGTTGGCAAAAGCAGTGACGAAAGGTTACCAGCGTAAGATACGTTTAAGAATCAACTTTGATTGTGCTTAGTTTGGAAATAACTAAATTAACTTAGAATTTTTGAAGTGCGGTTAGATGAACACTAACTTGTACTACTACATTGTTTTTGTCAATGGAGTCTTGGGACTTTGAAGCGAGCGATAAAACAGCAGCAGTTCCTTGTCAGAAAGGGCTGTCTGACCACAAGATATAGCAGCTGGGAATAGGAGCCTGTTCATGTGAAGTGTTTGTGCGTGTGCATGCATGTTTTGTATTGTCTTGGCTGACCTGTAGCAGATCCTACTATATCCCTGGAGGGGGACTCAGACATGGCATCTGCCAGTCTCTCTCGGAGGCCTTCGTCACTGGCGTCTGCCGAGCCAACGTTGTGCCGCGGTATGCCGAAGCTCTCCGGCCAGCTACCACATACTTCCAGCAAGGTCACACCACGTCCGTCGAAAGGACCTGCATGCAAAAAACAAACACAGGTTTAAGGCTCTGTTAGTTACCAAGTAAATGGAGGGATGCAGCAATATTCACAGTTGTACCAACTCTGCAATAATAAGCTGATACGTAGGATCAGGATGGGAGCCAATCCAGACATTTGGACTGAATCAAATATATGAAGCTTGATCTATTTCTGCTTCTGTAATTGCCAACTTGAGAATTTCATTTCATGCAACTTAATTTAAATCTACTCATCTCAGAGACTAACATTGTACTATTTACTCCACTACATTTGTCTGACAGCTATAGTTACTTTTCAGATTACACTTTATCTTTCATGTACAGTGAAAACCAAGTATCTCCAAATTTGGTGAATTTGAACATTTGTGAGGAACTGAAGGATAAAGTGTTAATTGATGTTTGAGAAAGTTCTTTATCTTAAGATAAATAAACTATTAAAAAAACCTCTTGGATTCGCAGCAAGATGCATTGTCACAAAGCTGAAAACTTTTCTGAGCTGATGAAAAGTTGACCTATTAGAGATATGTGATTCTCACAGGACAGTGATGCTACAAACATATGAGGATCTATGATGATAGAATTTGATACAGTGCTGTAAATTAAACTATCCCACAGTATTTATGGGAGTTAAACACATCTACAGAAGTTATATGCAACATACATATTAATGCAGCAGTGATATTTATCCAGAAACATCATATATATACATATATATTCTCCATCACTCGCCACTTTCAAAACTGCACTTAAAACTCACCTATTTAAATCTACTTTTAACCTGTAAAGTCAGTTATGTATGTTTTCTGTTTTTTCTTTTCGTGTTGTTCCTTACTGTTATGTCATCGATTTTGTTCTTGTTATAAATACTTTTATTGTTTCTGTTTTTACCATGTAAAGTGTCTTTGAGTGCCTTTTAAAGCGCTATATAAATAAAATGTATTGTTATTATTATTATATATTATCGTAAAAAACTGACATTAGTAATTTAAGTACATTTAAAATCTGAAATACCATAGTACCATACTACAATTCTCACAATATGTAAAAAGATGGGATTCACTATAGTATGAGTACCACATTTTGCATCTTATTTTTGCTGATGTGTCATCTATTGCCTTGCTAATCATAGATCAGCAGTTCGATCCCGTGCTTCTCTGGTCTGCATCTCGAGGTGACCTTGGGAACCACAAATTGGTGCATGAATGTGCATTATTCTAGATCCTGATGGGCTGTAGGCACCTTGCATGGCAGCCTCTGCCATTAGTGTGTGAATGGGTGAATGTTGACTTTGGGGTGTCGGAAAACTAGAAATTTACCGAAATATTTAAAAACAATTTTCCAAACTGAAAATCATGCAACTGGTTTTACTGTGACAATAGATTCAGCCAAACATTTCTACCAAAATGAAAACCAATTGCACAACAGCACCTCTGGGTTCCAGCAGATCAGCTGGTTTAAAGTCACAAACGCGCACACACATAAACAACTTGTAAGCACAATCTTCATGCATGTCAAACCAAATCCACACACTACACTGCACCTTAATCTCTTCTCCTTTCTGTCTGCATAATTTCTGCAATCACAGAGATCTTGTGCTTTGGAGCCAGAGAGTCTGCAACCTCTCTCTCTCTCTCTCTCTCTCTCTCTCTCTCTCTCTCTCTCTCTCTCTCTCCCCTGTGTGTGTGTGTGACACACACAACCAGGCAGGCAAGCAGGCATGCAATGCTATAACGTTAGTTACATATTGTAACTCGAGATTCTATGAGCATAGAGGTAGCCCAGCGTGCATCAACAGTCGTAAAGATATTTTCGCGCCCTTGGCTGTCTGGCTCCTTTCAAAAAGCTCTTTACCAAGAGATGCGCAAAAACCTCTCTCTCTCTCGCTAGCCTTTAATGGCAGGATGAAGATTTAACTGTTGAGGGGGCCAAATTGTTATCTGCAAATGTTAGAAGGAAGGTTACCACGAGAGGCATGTGACAAGATGTTGGATCTAAACCTCCAGAGTTTTCCACCAGAATGACTGTTAGATTCTCTTCTGGAATGTGTGCTAAGAGGCAATGAATTAGAGGAATTTGTGGAAATTCGTACAGAAGAACTCTGGACCAGGGTCAGTCAGAGAACGCATCCACTCCTTGAGGAGGGTGGTCCCGTGTGTTCATGGAGAACCACGTTGCTCATTGTGCATATAGTGTGATATTCAGTTTACACTCTTTGTTTGACGGAACCCTGATATTAAGTCCGCTGTGTGACTTTACTCTCCCTTGGGGAACCCCCAATGATGGAACACAGGTTGTTTTTCCAGTAAATCAAGTCTGACTGCAGTAAGGGAGGGTTGGTCAAAAGTTTTGCACCAAAATCATTTGCTGCCTCCGCATCTGACTTAATATCAGAGGAAATTAATAAGGTATTTAAGGAATTTTACATGTCTCTTTAGTCATCTGATCATAATTCTACCACTCCCAACATTGATAGTTTTTGATGGTTTTGAATATACTCTATAGAACAGGGGTCTTCAATGTTTTTCAGGCCAAGGGCCCCCACAAAGATGGAGCAGGGACCCCCGACTATATATATTGTATAAAATTGTGTTTTATATTAAACTAGGCCTAGTACCATGAATACCTCTTTATTGTGCATTCAATACTAATCTATTCAAATAATACACAGGTTCATATATTCATGTTTTTATTTTAAACATGTGCAAGGTACAGTGAGTAGGGTGGCCATGCCACTGCCATTTATAAACATACCTTGTCAGCTGATACCAATGCCAATATCAACATTGTCTGTCAATTGCATGATAATCATGCATACAAGCTATTCAAACTGATGTTTTCATTTTAAACATAAATGTGGAAACGAAAATGAGTGATGGCCTATTAGTGCCACTGCCATGCATAAACATACCTGTTATCTTGCAGACAATACTGAACTATTAAAATAATGGACAGATTCATGTTTGGAAAAAAAAAAATAAAATTCTTTAATTGTCTAATCAAACAAAAATTCCGCGGACCCCCTGCAGTACCTCCGAGGACCCCCTAAGGGTCGCGGACCCCCTGTTGAAGACCTCTGCTATAGAACAAACCGTAGCTGAGAAATTCGAAGATCATTATTGAAGTACTACATGCTGCTATGACATCCCTAAAGTGGGGAGAGCCAAGAACCAGATGCTCCATGAGTGTTCGATAAGAAAGTTGGCATAAGCTGGTCCCTACTTATGCATAGGTTCACAGATCATACCATTTGGGTTGCCTTCCCCAAACTCTTATTCAAACCTCTCTCTCTGTCTTGAAAAAAAGCAAAGACCCACTAGCCTGTATCTCTTAGTGGCCTGTAAGTTTGCTTAATGTGGACCTTACATTATTATCAAAACTAATGTCTATATACCTGGAATCTACTCTTCCATTTATTATTTTACCAGACTGGGTTTATTCGAAATAGGCATTCCTGTTCCGACCTCAGACATCTGTTTGATATTATCAACAACCCCTCTACATCCCACCCAACAACCCACGAAGCTTTGATATCCTTGTAAGCTGAAAAAGCTTTTGACAGAGTAAAATGGTATTACTTCCTAAATTTAAGAGAAATTTGGCTTTAGGAGGACTTTTATTTCATGGACTAAGCTGCTATATTCATTACGACAAGCTTCAATTATCACAAATATTATTCACTCTGATTACATTTGTCTTTACAGATCCACAACACCGAGTTGTCCTTTGAGTCCCCTACTATTTGCCATTGAACCGTTGTCAGCAGCACTACAATCTAACCCCCATGTTATACCTTGTACAAGCATACATGGTTTAGAACTGAAGATCTCCTTGTATGCAGATGACCCTCCTTTGTTCATTTCCAACTTGCCTGTTTCTGGTCTGTTTCTGTCAAGTATTTGGAGATAAATTGAATTTCAAATAAAAGTAAAACATTTGCTGCATCCTCTACATCCTCTACACTATCCTCTACATCCTCTACATCTAAGGTTGCCCAACATTTAGATTAACAACGGTTGTCTGTCCTAAACCTATCTCTAGCTAATTCAGTAAAATGTAATATCCATTCTCTTTCCATGCATACAAATTTTCCTCCCTCAGATCTTCTCAGATTAAGTCTGATCCTAGAGTTTATCTGGAATAAGGTTTCCAGATAGTGTATATCATATTTGCAGAGACCAAGGCCACTTGGCTTAAGGGCTCTAACAATTTTTAGGCTCTATTATTAGGCTGCCAACATTAAGACAAAAAAAAATCTTTTAAAATGAGGCTTTTGATCCAATTCTTATCGGCTGGCTCTGGAGGCCAACTTCACCCATCTCGTCTCATTAAAGGTTCTCGAATATTCACCTATTTACTCATCTTTTTCTCCTAATGCCAAGAACATGTTGGCTAAAAGCTTTTGCAAATATGTTTTTCCTCCATCCCTAGTAGATGTTCGCTTCTTGGTTTGGACCAAGACCTGTATCTTGATAATGTCTTTGTAACCTTTTCAAAACTTTTTCCCTCCCTGAGCAACAGTTTTTTTTAGATACTTACAGGTTAGCAGATTTGTTCAAAATATGTTCTGGAGCTTCCCAACCTACCCAGTGATACACCCCTTGATAATTTCCTTAAACATATTACAATTCTAAAAGGTTAATTTTCTGTTATATACAACCAAGTTCAGTGACTGTGCCCAGAGTCATTAAACTCCACAAAAGATTTTTGGGGGAGGATCTGGAGAAGGATTTATTACAAGAGCTTTGGATGGAGATGTAAAAAAAGGGTAAACAGACCCTAAATGTGTGCAAGGTACAGGCTCATCTAGTGTAAACATATGCATCGTATCTGCATTGTTTCTCAAATATTGGACAGAGATTTTTGACACCCTGTCTGAGGTAATTGGGGAGTAAAGTGAAGCTACTGCTCTCAGGGCACTATTTGGTGTGACTCATTTTTTACCCTCCCTCCACAAGGCCAAAGAGATATCAAAGCCTTTACAACCGTATAGAGAGGCA